GGGGGGGGGGGGGGGGGGGGGGGGGGGGCGATGGCATATGAACTGGCCACGAAAATATCCCTCGTGGGGGACCCCTTCGTACCCCTCATAGCGAGACCTGTGGAGATTGGGGTGGGGGGAGCAGCACATATGTCGTTGCCCTTGACGTGCTGACGCTCTCTGTCAACTTCGAAAAAAACTATTGAGACCTCGAAGGCACACTGCCACCACCACCACGCCGAGAGGCATAAACAAACCCGTCTTCGTTACTTGGCCAATCGATCGCAATCGTGCTCTTGTATCGAACCACCATCTCAAGACCCACCAAGAGCTGTCGGTAATCCCAGCGGTGAACTGCAGGACACCCGCAGCGCAAACCCCTGCAGGGCTTGAGATAGAGCCAGCACCGCAACGAACGCTCCGCCGCCGCCCACGGCCTGTTCAGAAGGAGTAAATAAAGTCCAAGGTTACAGAAGTAGGAGTGGTCTGTCAAAAGAAGTAGTGGAGATGTAGCAAATCACCTAACTTCACCGTCGGTCCCCTCGACTTCGCGAAGGGGCGGGGAGGACCGTACCATACGGAGTTTGATCGTACCGGACATATGTTTCTAGTTTTATCTTCGCGGCACCGTCAAAGCGCAACACTTTCCGTGAGGTAAAAAAACAATTGTTTTCGATATAAAAAACCAATTGCTTTGGATAGAGAAAGAAAGGGCAACAGGGTTTCCTGAGGAAAAACAAATGTATGTGTTGGGTAGGTGAAAGAAAGGGCAACAGTTTTCCTGAGATAAAAAAAACAATTACTCTGGAATTGTGCAATGACCACACTAACCGTGAGGAACAACAGCTTGTTTTGGAAAATTGCCGTTTCTTGTGCACGAGGGCAACCCCTCTTGCAGCGTAGGAGGGGCAAGGGAGAAAGCCCAACATCGAGGGGAGGGACGCCGGCACATAGAGGGCCTGGCGCAGTTCAACAAGTCGGCTTGGGCCAAGCCATCGGTGTTGCCAGTCCCCGCAGGGCTTTGGACAGCATCATCATACTCGGAGGGTGGGGCGTGATTTCCGGTCCTCCCAAGACCCGAACATATCGTCCTGTTGAAAACAGCATTTTTTAGACGCTGCTTGACAAACTTGGAGAGGGCACTGAGGAGAAAGGACGAGGCCGAAGTCGACACGCTTCCAGATCGCTTCATCATCGTCCTTGTCTGTCCCTCAAAAGCTAAAAAGCGTGTTCGCAAAACGACAAACTTGACAAACCACCCATTAATCTGGACGCTCACGCCGTTGAGTTATACTACATAGCTCAATCCTATAGTTACATGCCTCGTTGTTCGATTTCTTCTGATTGGTTTGGGGACTGCGTGCGGAAAAAAAAAACAGAAGGAGAATTGAACGGAATATTTCCGTGGTGCGAAGAGGAAGCCTTTTCTAACCTGGTGTGGTACAAAAAAAAAAAAATGGTGCGCGGGTGAGTGTTCCCATGAATCGAACACAACGGAATTTGCTCGTTATTCCTGAAAAACTGAGAGCAAAAAAATCTCACAATCATTTCGGCGAATACTCTCCATGGCAACAAAACACGAGGCGTTTGTTCCAACAAACCCTCCGAAGGGTGTCGTCGTCGTCGTCGTTGTCGTTGTTTTTTTTTTTTTCACACTCCGAAATAATGTCGTTGCTGTTGTTACTTTGTTTCCACATTCTAAACCGGGTCCGTTCCTGCTCAGTACTTTCCAACGCCCGCACGCCGCTCCAACAGATTAAATAAAAAAATGCCGACAAGCAGCGCTTGCAGGGGACAACAATCTCTCCTGCCAAAAAGTCAAACCAGGCGCCTCGCCTGCGTAATGCCACTGGCCAGAACGGAGGACGTGCCCTTAGCCCCACGCCTTCCTCCTCCGGTAGATCTCCTGCCTTTCCACTCTATGCCGGCCCTCTTGAGACGTCTCCGGACCGAGTTTAGCTCCTGCATAAAAAAGAAGTGGCATCGAAGCGGTAGCAGCCCCCCCCGAGAGTGACGGCACCGACAAAGAGATAGAAAGATGTGCAAGGAGCGCGGGAGTTTGTTGAGCGTGCGAGGAAAACGTCGCTCGACGCGCCATGTACTTCATCATCTATTTCTCGAAACATGACTTGTCTGATCGGCCGTTTGGTCGAATCCTCCCCTTGCAAGCAGACGTGTGCCGTAAATACCCTGTGAACCATCCCCGGGGTAGAAACGATGATTTAACGAAACACGATCACGTCAGAGACCTAGAGATGGTTAACAGACAAACACGGGGGGCATCTTCTGCTGCGGCTACAAGAGCAGAAGGTGTGGTAAGTACCAACTTATTACATGTTTCTTACGTAGGGTTGTAAAGGGCGAAGGCCTCTTGCCCAGTCTGCCGCAGCCATCACCTTACCGTTCCCACCGTGTGTCTACTGTAGTCGGCAGTCCGTACGACAATATGGTCTTGTCTCACCTCTCACTCATTGCCTTGGTGGGTCTGTTGACCAAGGAGGAGAAGGTATGAAAGGCGAAGATAGGTAAGAACACAGGTGGCCACACAACCTTTGAATCCGTAGCACCTGTCGGAGGCTACAGAGTAGTAGATCGTTTTTTTTTTTTGGGGGGGGGCACACTTTGGCCCCATTCGTCTTCGCCTGCTCGCCAAGAAGGACATGGTTACATGGCTGTCTCCACCTCCGAGATCGTCGACACCGGGGTTGCCGGGGTACGGGGGGAGCATAGCAAGTCTACAGCAAGCAGTGCGGGTGCTTTGGACAGGGGAGGAGTAAGAGGGTAATGGCAAGGGAGATTCGAGGGCTGATCGCAGGACGATACCGCAGGCTCAACAGCGAAGTTGCGCCGCGTCTACCTGCGCTCGGGGTGGAAAGCGTAAGTAGGGCCAGGCGCGAACGAAGCACCTCGCCCACCGATGACAGGAGGCACCGGGCAACCTGAGAGCTTGGGTCAGAAGGTCTCGCTTGTCTCTCCGGAGGGATGTGTTGAAAATATCCTTTTCATACCCTGATTTACCGCGCTCCTGCCAAAGGTGTTGTCTATAACCCTTAACAAATAGCCCCTTGATTTTCTAGTGGCCATTTGATAGGGCTCTTAGGAAAGAGGAGGCGCAAGCGGGGGGAGAGCGGGGGGAGAGCGGGGGGGCTGGTGTGCACTTGCACCCAGGACTGGAACCGTCCGAACCATCACTCAGCAGGCGTCTCTCCGTCTTCGTAGAAAACATACATCCAATCAAAGAAGACCATCCTTTCGAGATATGTAAAAGTAACACCACAGCAGTCGAAGGGTGTTGAGTGAACGGCTCTTTCCTACAAGCGGGGGGAGAGCGGGGGGAGAGCGGGGGGGCTGGTGTGCACTTGCACCCAGGACTGGAACCGTCCGAACCATCACTCAGCAGGCGTCTCTCCGTCTTCGTAGAAAACATACATCCAATCAAAGAAGACCATCCTTTCGAGATATGTAAAAGTAACACCACAGCAGTCGAAGGGTGTTGAGTGAACGGCTCTTTCCTACACTGCGAAAATTCGCATGCACGTCGAATTTTCTGTGCGCCCCGAAGCCTGTACTTCTGTTATTCCATTATTTCCTGGCGGAGATTGTTGATGGGATTGGGATAACTCTAGTAAGAAAAGGCGGTACATGTACGCACTACATACGCACTTTACTTGAAATGGAAGTTTTCGCAAGAGGAATATGTAGCAAGGCGTGCAAAACGTGTGCAAACGCTTCGTGACTTTCGTTTCGACAGTCCCGTCTCGCGGGAGCGCTCGTGCTGTAATTCCTTCAGTAAAATGTGGACAGCAGCAGGGTGGTCGAAAATGGAGCATGGGGGTGTAAACGCCAGATAGACCGAAGAGCGAAACAATTGCAGTGGACCCCGATGCACAGCAAAAAGGCAGTGCGTCTGTGCGTCAAAGAGCGGCGTATTACTGCTGTGTGCTGTATATGTACAGCAGTAGTTGATGGTAATAGAGGCTCTCGACAAACTCTGCCGTCGCCTCGTGAATACATGTTGTAGGCTGTATAGACGCAGCAACGGAAGGTCTGTGCTAGGGGTTACACCGGGAGAGATTATCATGGATGGAGCATCGCCTACATTGCATAATTGAACACCAGCGTCCCTACAATTAGCACAACGGGCGTTTGAAAATCGGCTGTGTGGAGCAACGTCGCCTACAGCAGTACGTTCAAAGTTGGAACCCACCTCGGACATGTCGTCTAGAAAACCCATGCCTGCTGCTCTAGCAGGTCGAACTTCCGCCCCCCCCCCCGAACCTGCGCTGCAAGTAATGCTGCTGCCTACGACGGTTGCACACTTGGTGCTGCAGGCTGTCAGACGGGAGACTAGGTGGGGGTCCGCGCAGATGGTACTGAACCAGAAGCGCCACCTTTAAAACCTGAACGCCTGAACCACTCTTCCCGCTTCCCCATGCCCCATGCCCCATGCCTGCTGAAAATTCGAAATTGCGCGTCGCGTTGTTGCTTCAAGTACCAACCACTGGACGTTGTGGTACGCCGTACGTCATACCCTCTGGTACGCAATGCATACATGCATGCGCCGGACCGCCTTCGCGAGATCACTGCTACGCCACAATCGTGAAATTGCGCTTCGCGCGCGTAGTTGCACTTCAAGTACAAAGTACGTCCGTAACCCTGCTGTGGTACGCCACACAAGCCACATTCCCTCCCACCTCCCACACCGGCTACCACAACCAACACCACCAACACCGGCAAGGCTTCTTTCTCCCTGCGCATCCTGTTCGTCGGCATCGTTTGGAAGTGTGAGTGATGGTGATCCGTCCTTGCTGTGAGTTCCTTTCGGAATGTTCGAAAATTTCGGTCCCTCGGGAACGTTCACGGTTCATTCCTCGGGTGGGCGGGCGGCGATGTGTGACGCTAATTCCATCCCCCCTTCTTCCCTTCCGCTTCCACTTCCCTCACTCCCAACAAAAGCCTCCTGTTGAACAGCATAACAGCATTCGTCAGCTCGGTCTGACTGCGATTTTCTCTGGCCTCGGTCATCACACGGTTGTCTCCGAGAGATTGACTGCACACCACGCCTCGACGATCTCTTTTTCTTGGCTTGTTGGCTTGTCGCGCGATTAAAACCGCAGAGAGCTCGCACGGCAACGAAGAAGACGGCGTCATGAGTTCGGGCCTGATTCCACGAAGGATGGCTGCCATCGCAAGGTGTGAAGGGGGTTAAGAGACTGGACTGCGTACTGCTTTGCATGTACAAGCTGTAGTCTCTGTTGGAGCAGAGGACAGTAGAGATAGTAGTCGTAGATATAACAACGACTGCTGTTGTGCGTCCTGATGATCCTGTAGCTGGGGGTTGGTTGTTGGTGTAGACTATATGGTACACATCCCTTGTTCCTTTGAGGGCCTCAATCATAGCGGATTTTTTCAAGTTTTCGATGTATCCGTTCCACGGCAACTGACGTACTGCGGTGGGGTCAGTAGCCCTAGGGAAGAGCTACATATGGACGTACGCATATGCATACGCAGCAAGACTTGTGATCACACATGGTGGGTAGCCATTTCCTCCCGTACTATGTACCTTCACGACGACGAATTCTCTGGCTGAATTATTATTTGTCGTTCTACTGTTGCCGCGGCCTATGTACAACAGTGCCTCTCCTATTCCAATACCCCGCAAGAGTGCGGGAAATCAACCGTGGTAATTAGTGAAGGGTGAAGACTCATTGCCGCCGGCTGGTTGACAGGAACCATCTGCCGGCCTTCAGTCCGCCGATTAGGCTCCTGCACGCACGCCTAAGACGACCTGCGACGTTATCTACTTTCTCCCAGAAGAACTCTGCGGGAATGTGTATGCATATCTTGTTGTTGTTGTCTTCACATTACACTCGTGTCAGTTGCTAATCCCAAAATCTAGCAAAGACGCGGTCCGTGGTCACAAGAATGCTAGAGCCATCAGAAGATCTAAAGAACACGCAAACTAGCAAGAAAAGGGCACACAAGCCCGAAGAGGTACACCTATACGTCCCTGCAGCACGTTTGCGTGCCCAAAACTGAACTACCCGTCCACACGCTACATTCGACTACAGCAGCATCATCCCCCCTGTCCCACAGTTTACCAAAATGAATGTTTACTTTGTCGACTACAGCGTACAGCTGTCTGGAGTGCTGCCAGTACAATAACACCATGGTAGGCATGGCACAAGTTCGGGGCGCGCATCTGCTGTCTGAAGTGCTGTCAGAATGCGTCCGTGGACATACAGTGAAAAATAACACCCAACCAAAGCCATAATTGCAAAATTGACAATCACCGAATCTACCCCCGGATCATCTATCTGTGTTGGACACAGCAGTTAGAATAATCGACGCTGACTAGGAAATCGTTCCACATGGACATTTTTACATGCGTGTTGTCACGGAGTTCAAGCGTTGGGTGGTTGCTTCTTCAAGTGCAGTCAGCTATGCATAGTGTAACAACCATTTGTTTTCGTGTTGTCTTCCAATCCTCGGGTTTATGACTTGCACCACACTCACCGGTGGCGAGTTTTTTTTGTTTTTTCGAGGGCGAAACGAGAGAGGGCACCAACGGGCACAAGGGTTGCTACAGGAGTATCACATGTAGAACTTTCCAGCGCACCTGAAATCGAAAGTCCCGCCGTATGTATATGCACGGCATGCGCTCCGCTCGGAAGACATCCCGCCGAACAACAGCAGTCTTCACAATTTGATGTAGACGTCACAACTCGAAGATGGAGCGTACTGCTCCTTCCACCACCCCGACCGTCAGTAAAGTAGCTTATTTGCAGGTCTGGTGCTTTCAACCATGCTGGACAGGCGATGACTTTGGCGGCAGCGATTATCACTTCATTTGGAGGACCTCGAAAAATGCGTGTGATCATGCGTGAAATTCTGTCAACCTATAAAGTTAACGTTGCATGATGCCTTTCAAAATCCCCAACCCCTGAATATTCCTCCGATGAGGGACCGAAGTCTGAATCAACGAGCGAGAAGCTGCATAAATCCGTTTTTGAAAGAGCTTCGCCTGCCTATTCCAGGGAAATCCTTCAGGTTAGCAGCTAAGCTAGCACATAAACATACATGCTGACCTCGGAAACGATCTCGGAATAAACCGTTTTCAAGAATACAAACGCGTGACTGCCCGGCGCCCTTTCGTGAACATCATTTTCGAGCAGTTCGCGATCTGCGTTCAGCGCAGCCGCAGCTCACCGGAGCCTTTGCTCGCATCATGAGCAGAGCCAACATCATCCGGGCTCTCACGGCCTGGCGCACCGCGCGTCCGTCGTATCAAGCCCCAACGAGCAGCGGCTGCAGAGCCCTGACCAGCTCCACAACCAACAGCACAAGGAGCACGGCCAGCACGACCACCCTCACCGTTCGCACCACCAGCAACAGGCCAGGCGCCCCTCAATGAGCCAGGCGCAACCGCAGGCGGGCGTGGCTGACTCGTCCAGCGGTGGATGCGCTGACGACGTTCCTCAGTACTCCGTGTTGGCCTCCCAGCAGGTGAAAAACTAGAAAAACGGTGTTCGTTGTGCTTGGTGATTGCTGTTTTTGGTGTGGTTGTGGTTGTGTTTGTTGTTGTTGTTGGTGTCGTCGTTACTGTTGTTATTGTTTGATAACGTTGATGACAATCCTTTCAGTTTCGTGTTTGATACAAACAAGCAGCGAAACGAGATTTTTATACTCGCTGCTCGCAAGCTGCGAGCCCGTCGCTAAGAGAGGGCAACGAGCGCATGCCCCCGTTGGATCGACTCTGGGATCGCATGCAAGTATGCACAGGTTGTGGTCGTCATTAGACGACATCGCTGGGGTCTGTGAACCGAATCACATTAGGCGGCGCCTTTTTGGTTGATTCATTTTGTCGTAGGAAAACGCCTCGGCCATGGCGACAAACTTTGCGTCGTTTCGGTGTGGAACCTTGAATCTTGGGTACATAGAAACGAAATCCTGCCCCCACGTACAACAAAGACGACACCCCCAATAGCCATAGCGACAAGAACAACAATAACAATTACATAACAACAGGAACAGCACCGGCAACACCCACACCACCACCACCACTCATCATGCAATGCATCAAATTCTGCGCATTTTCCGACCACGAGTGGCTTTTCTTTGGTCAAGGTTTTCCACGAGGCGACGGAAGGTCAGCGTGAAGAGTGGGCCCTGGCCCAGCCTTCGCCGGAGGTCCGGCTTCGAATGTCGGTTGAAAGGTGAGAGCCGGTTCCCCACACTGCCTAATGCGCCACTTGTTAACGATGACTCTATTTTTTCTCTATTGAGCGCACGCCCGGCTTTGAAGTCCTTTGGAACCGGGCCTGTTTCGAGTAACAGCTCCCACTTCACGGAGGTCTGTTGTCCAACCCATGCAGAAAATGTTTAAACCCGAAGGCTGTGCTACCCTGTTATCCTGTGTACCTCAGGCAGCTTCAAGTTTTATTGTTTCGCATGCTTGCCAAGCGGTTGATCTCGTGCCTCGTCATCCCGTCGGCTGCTTGCGGCACCGGAGAGGTTGCATGAATGTAGTGCTACGGACGCAGGCAGCGGTTTGTTTCCGCCCGTTTCAATTATTCAACAATCATGACCTCACAACAAGCAGGTTCGGGAATCGCTACTTTGTGGATGAGCTGCCCTGCCGCACTCGCAAGTCGATCGCTACGGCCGCCGCCGCAGGCAAGGAGTACATCACGGCCAGAGACATCACGTGAGTTTCAATTGGGGCAACACAAATGAGTCATATATTTTGGACGTGGTAGCTGGGCTGTGTATGGGATGTATTGAGTTAACTCAATGTCGGATGTGAAATAGACGTTAGGTATCAATGATCACACAACAGAGTGCATTAACGTCAGAAAGGCGGCAGATAAACGACAAATCAATACCGCGAGGGAGGACTTCTGGACCCCCCCCCCCCCCTTCGTCCACGCACGCTGCATTCCCAGTTGCTGTGTGCGGGGTTGGCTCTCGTGTACGAGTAACCGCCCTCGCTCCTTTTCGGCGAAACTCGGCGCTTTCTTGCGTTCTCGAGACACCGTGTCTCCCGATTCTGGCCAAACCTACCCCTACGCCCGCATGTCCTCTCTTCCCGCCTCCGAACTTGACCCCTACCATAGCCCTAGGCCCTCAACACCCCAAAGTCATGTTGGGGTTGGGGTTTGGACTTGAATGCACACGGCCTACAGTAGTGTACATTCGACACCCATCCCGATAAAGTTCACAACCCATGTGAAGGAAACCGTACAACACGTCGAGGTCCCCGTCTGCTCCATTGCCGTACCATGTCTACGTTATCGTTGGTTCTGTGTGATCGCACTACTGTAGATAGAACCTGTTGGTCCTCCGAGATCTTTGCCAACGCGGTTGCGCACAGGGAGGCGTGTTCACAAGCCACGAAGCATGACCCGAGATCGTTGAGCCTTTGATGATGGTATCATCGTGACAAATGTCAGTCATCCCTTCGGAACGCTTCCGTTTTTTCGAACATGTCCTTACCCCCGCAGCCGTGTCCTGGACACCATTTCCGATGGAGAGCACGTTCTTACCGACGGCGAAGCGGAAGCTATCTGCGCCGCATGGAGCGATCACCATCCTCACCATAAGCAGCATCATGGTCAGCAGCAGCAGCAGCCAGCCTTCGGTGTTGGTGCTCCTGCCGCTGGTATCGGCGCTGGAGCGGGGGCATCGATATCCCCGGAGGTATTTCTGGAGTTGTTGGGGCATGGCAACAAGTAGTGCTGTGTCTCTCTCTCTTCGATTGGAATACATTCTTGTGAAGAAGATCTTGATGCGGGATTTTACCGAAAACGGGCTCGGTGAAAGGGAGTGCGGTTGGGTCTGCTAGTGTGAGTCCTCTTTAGGGTAGGCGCCAATGTGGAGGAATCGGAGGCATGGAAACGGGCCGGATATTGTTTCTGCAAGAATGCAGCGGTAAGGGTTTTGGGTACACTGTGTATGTATGTAAATGTTCTCGGGTGCTTGCGTTCGTGTGCAGTGTTCTGTGAACCGTGCTTGTGTGCAGCAGGTTTCTGTGGTGAGTTTTTTTGCTGTTGGTACATGCCGAAATCCCTCGCATGTGGAAACATCAATACACGCTTGCTTGTGTTGGTCCTTGCTTGTAGGCAAACTCTACCGAGTGAGTACAACAAGAAGGCATGTCGCTTCACTTTTTTCGCGAAGCTGCCACTTGTGCCTTCGGCTATCGTTACAACGTGTCAACTTTATTCGTTGATGTCGATAACTCTGCTCTGACGGGCACAGCGACAAGATAAAGCAAGGGCCGGGCCCGGCGGGTGGTAGCGGCTAAACGCAACGCCCCCTGTATGTGTATCCCCTCTGGGGGTTACGTGTGTGGGTTATGAAGCGTGTGTAGGGGGGATGCGAGTGGACCCCTGAGAGTGAGAGAGAGAGAGTAGATGGAGAGAGCTTACACGCTCTGCATGTCTGTTCATGCATATTATATGCTTCGAAGTATTTATTTTTCTTCGTTGTCGGCCGTTCCTGGGACAACATGTTTATTGTACCCAGACTCAACACCAACCGCTGAGGGCGGTGGCGCCTCGAACACCACCCAAACGGAAAGGGCGATGGCGGCTGAACTTGGTTATAGTGAATGGATTTGGGCTTGGGGCATCCGTGACTGCTCGAAATGTTGGAGTTCTTTCATGATGCTTGCGAATGGTACTTGTTTGTGCCGACGATATGGGAACGTTGGGTGTTATCACAAACAACGTCGGATTTCACTCAAACGCCGACCGGATTGGGTGTGGACGATATTAGTGGGTAAAGTGAAATAGGCGGGCGTGGGGGCTAGGGTTTGTTTTCATGGCGTTTGTCTTCATGCCGTCTTGGGATTGTTTGCATTGTTGGAGTTTCCATGCTGCTTGCGCTGTCCGCAATCATTGTCAGACTGGATAACGCCTTTACTTCGAGACCGAGGAAGAAGAGAAGGAAGGGGGGCTATTTGTGCGGTACATGATGCTTGCGTGGAAACAAGCAGGAGTTCTCTGGGACGCCTACGCTCAATTCGGGTTGTTCACGCTGCAGCATGATGTGTACCGTTTGTCGAAAGGAGCCATGTGCTGTCGGAAAGAGTATTTAAGGATGCTAAGACATTCCTCTAGGGGGCAACTGGGTGTTTAAGAACCGACTTTACCTGCAACAACGGGAGCTAGCTGTAATGATAGGTAGAGAGCCGAGGGGCGTTGTGGGTGTTCCTCCAGCGACATGTACGACCACACGGAAGATGGCGTTGGCGTCCCTTCATCGTGCTCAGCACATTCTGCGACTCTCTCCCCCTGTGCTGGGATTCTTGATTGACTTGTTGTTTGGGTGCCCGACGGTGCGACTCGAAGGACCCATCGCCCGCCCTTGCTTCTTTTTTTCTTTTCCCCGTCCTTTCGGTTGACGTGTGTCGTTCGTTGGACGGTTTTTTCACAGGAACCTGTTTAACTATATGATGTTGGCGTATTGCGGATATACTGTGCACGTCGTTGTAGAAGGAGAGTGCCCTGTTTTTCTTCTTCTGGCGGTGTTAAATGAACATGGTCTGCTGCTGGCTAGCTGCCGTTTTTCTTCTTCGGGATGCATGCATGGTCGGAAGGTGGTCCGCGACCCCAGCCTTTGGAAACATGAAACATGTGTCGCTCGTCTTTCGTTAGGGTACCACTTCGCTAGAGGATGGGCCTCAAAGAGAGGAACACAACGCCATGTTGAAGCGAAAGAAAAACGCCACAGGACCACGTGAAAATATGCGATCGGTCGGCGCACTGATCGGCGTGATTGAGTAGATCGGGTGTTTCGCGCATTCGTAAACGGTAGGTGCGGTGTGATCCGCGCCGACACAACCCGGGAGAGTACGTGATGGCACACAGCGTGATCGAGAACACCGCGCTCGGCAAAATAATTTCATGGTACCCGACAGTGACAGCACCAACAAGACAGCATACGTCGTCATGCCATGTCAACGGTCCACGCCGTTATGCATACCTGGGGGGAGGATTATGCCGTAATTGTAGAGAACGTCCCACGTTAGGGTAACTGTACGGAGTAACGACCACGACATACTTGGGAGGAATATCATAAGTTCGTGATGCGAAGCAGTAACACGCTAGGACCCGCCTGGAGAAGACAGCAACGGATTAGGGTGTGGCAAGAAACAACATAAGACAATCTACATACCTCGTTTACCACAACACAAGAAAGACAACCTACCCCGTTTTCCCGGCGAATATCAGGCTTCAAAACAAGTCCATTTCACAGATTTTCTCCGCGGTACGAAAACATAGCAAATTTCAGAACAAGAACGGATGACTTTCACAATTATCTATAACGTCTTGCGAAAAATGCCCCCACAGCCACAAACATGTGCACTAACACCCTAATCCTAACCCTCGACCACGCCGCATGAATAACCATCTAAACAACGACACCAGAGATGGTGTATCTTCGTGACGACGCGAGGTCGAGGACCAGGACTACAGCCGGATTCTTGCCCTTCTTCTACGAACGAACATACATCGATGTGCATCACAACATACCGAACCAAGGCCCGGACGGCCAACGTGCGAGCCCTTTTGTCTTCCCAACTCAGAGGCGAATTACCATATCAGAGCCGATGCGTTGGAGTTGTGAAATGTTGTGATTGTTCAAATGAAAAACCGAATATGATACGTCTGTCACAATACAACACTCGAATCCAGCAGCCTGAAATTCCGGGCGCAACCCCTCATACAGGCTTGAGGTACGAGGTGCTCGACCGAGCATCACAATTTGGGTTCAATTTCTCACGCTACTGAGTGACACTATGAATACAACATTCGCGATAGAAGTGCATCTGAACAATGTACTTAAAAAAAACAAAAACGGCGCTACCCTCATGAATCATATAGGACAACATACTGATAATCTCTTGATGGTGAAAACAGCACAGGAAGGCCGGTCAACAATATTTTCTGTCGGCGTAGTCGCTCTCGCAACTCACCAACGCTACATACCTCACTTCACTATTCACAACACCTGTGTGTTCTGTCTCAACAGCAGGGACACCACAAGCAGGCAACAACAATACGGGGGCACACTAACTGCCCCCGCAAAAACAAATGTACACCATGGAGACAAGGGAAAGTGAGCCCAAGTGCGGTTTCTTTGAAAACACTATAAGAGTGCTCGTCTATTTCTCTTACCGCACGTGGACGTCGATACTGCATCTACAGTAGTCTGGCAACAACAGAAAGTACGTGCCTACCCTGCCAATACATTTCTCGTCCCCTTGTCCTAGCGAAAACTAGAAGTTCTTCCTCCAATGATTCACTCCCCCCGTTGTTGCCAGGCTAATGCTACGGGGCCTCCCAATTGGACAATACCCCCAACCAGACACCGGTTTAATGTCAACGTAGCTTTCGCGACTCTACGAATCCGACAAATTTATGGGATGATCACGATGCGAACGTCCCTTTACAACGCAATGCATCCATTCTTAAGGTCATTTTGCCTAGATAAATCGTCTCCGAAACAAGACGTATTGATGAGACCAAGGCAACATATAATTCTGAATTAACAATTCGACAAGATTGGATTGTATTGCGCTCAGAACGTCGCACGTACGGCAAGATTAGCCAGTAAGAATCTCCTCTCGTATGCATTAGCCCTTCCTTCACTCCGGACTTGACGATAGACGTTGGCCTATACATGAGGCATCGCGATCGCCTTCTTCAAGCAGTCGCATCGAGGCTTCGGACTCTTCTTGGCAGCAATCGTGTTCCTCCTCGCTACTAGGCCGCTTGTGCTTGCCGTGCATATAGAAGCCGATGCCGACGAACACCATTGCCACACCCCTGCCGAAAACATGAAACGTGAATGAACACGTTTCGATATTAACGGTTGACGAACTGGTACGTTTGCGCAGCTTCAACAACAACAGCAATAACCACAGCCAAAGCAACACAACGACCGAAAGCGAGTCAAGTACGAAACCGCGGATCAAGGCGCAACGCCGCAAGGAGCAGAGGGACACCGCTCACCCCCACTGCTTCAGGCTGATGCTGTGTCCGAAGGTGATGACGGAGAAGACGATAGTGAAGAACTTTCGGGTCGTTGTGATCGTCGCGCACGCCAGCGGATTGAAGGTGGTGATGGTGTAGTAAATGAAGAACTGGCCGCACGCCGCCGCCAATGAGAACGCCACCACGTAGCCCTGCCGGTGGTGGAAATCAAGGTCAGGAAAAATCAATACACACACACATGGTTACAGTTCGGTAGCAGGTCACTTGGTTTGGAGTGAATGTATGATGATGTTCGGAAGCGAGACCATGTTTTCTGTTGGCGTTCCCAAAGTGGTCGGCCAACAACGTCTGTCGTAGAAATCGTAACGCGTGCAGGCGTGTCGGTGAACACAGCAGATGCGAAGCCAACACGACGCTGGGGCTATGATATTACGAAATATCAACTTGAAATATGCTCGAGCGTCACAATCGCCACGATCCCGACTCTCCCAGTCCGAGCCACATCCTTTTCCCTGCCCTCGATCCTCCTTCACTTCTCACACGAAAGAACGCCAAGAAATATGACAAAGAAATGTCAAAGAAAAATGACACATAACGCGAAACAAACGTCACACAGATTTGACCCAGAGAGCGTGGTGTCATTCACGGACTCACCGTGACCAGCGGGTTGTCCGCGCAGAACAGCGACCCTTTCATCCACTGCCCCGAGGCGAAGGCTGCCGCCGACAGGAAGCCCAGCGCCCAGGCGTTCGTGTAGAACATCATCTCGTAGACGGTGGGCTTGCAGATGGCCTTCAATCGCTCCTGGGCGGGGGAGGTGCAGGGGGTGTACATAGGAGCGCGGGATAAGGCAGCGGGTACAGGTTGTCCATGACGACACCACACGTTCTTGTAGATATCAGGGTGCCCGTCGTCAAGCTGTCGGACGCCCACCCACGCACTACGTACCCGCCAACACCTTGCGAGGGGCCATCCGTATGTCAAGTGGTTTGCTTTCGTCTTTTACAAGGTAGAAAACCACGTCGATACTGGCATGTAGACAAGACGGCACATCGATGAGTGCATATATTGCGGAGGGAGTTATCGAAAGTGTAGTGACGAGTGAGCTCGCCACTCGGTCCCCGCCAGAATTGAAGTTTCCGATTTAGCGCGATAAGAAAATAGGATCTGCAATACGGATAGAGGGTTGCAGCAGAGTCAGTCACCGCCGTAAAAAACGTCACCCGTTCCGGCAACACAGCAGGAACGCCGCGAATTATTAACGACGACAACAGTTGTGGACAAACCTGAGAGCTGGTCATGACCCCGTCGAAGATGAGGCTTGCGACTAGTAGGCACAGCCCATACATGCTGTTTCGCTTGTCCTGAAAGGGCCACAAAGGCACGGAAGAACAAAAGAGTCGAACATTAAATGTCTCTTTCTCGGACTCAACAACCAAGAGAGAGAAGAAACAAAGCCAGACAACGTTTTGACGATAATTTTCACGCGTAGGACATTGATTGGCGTTGTAGGCCATGGCAGTGGCAAGCATCGGTAACGGTTTCATAGCTGCCATGGTTTCGGCGGCAAAGCCATACGTCGGCATTTTTTTTGTGGTAGGTGGTACTGGATTTTTCGGGCAGTGAAGCCTTCGTCGGAGGCGGTACAACCTGAATTTGGCGGTACCTGTTCAACAGTAACGCAAAATAGCAGTAATGTCTGGCGGTAGGCGGACTATGCGTTATTGCGACGGTAACGACTTTGGCGGAGGCGGTTGTAAAAAAATCCGGCGGTAATCCGGCGGAACATCGGAACCGACCATCAGGGCGGTATTTTCTATACAGTTAGGAGAAAACCCATGGAAAAAACCACTGACGGAGCAAGAACCATGGAGCTTGTGCATCTAGGTGGAGAAAACTTCCTTGATGACTCCGATTGGTGTCTCAAACGAATAAAAAAAAGGCGAAACCTGGCGCCGAGAAGAGATGGGACGAGAAAAAGAACAGCAAACAAGAAGAAAACCAACCACGGGAAGAGACTTCCAACCAAGCCAGACATCCGACGCGCAATATCTGGCAAGTTTAATTCGTAAGCAGCTACAGTACCTGTTCGTTGTTGGACCTCTCGGCTAGGTTAAAGATGACGATGCCCGTCGTGATGAGCGCCACGCAGAGGTACTCTCGCACGCTGTACTGCTTCTTGGCGAACAGCACTCCGAACAGCATGACCGGGATCATCTTTGTTGCGGCCACAGACACAGACACACAAGAATAGCACAGGTAACTCCATCGGTATGTGATGTCCGTCAGCGGCAATCGGTCGCAATCATCGCGGACCTACATGTGCCCTACTTGTCTTTCCAAAAAACTGAAAACGACCTAGCTTTCAATAAACGAAAAAATAATAACCAAATAAATTGAGTACCCTGGTTCCGGTGCGGAGGATCGAAAACTTAAAAAACCGTTGTTCTTCACCGCCGTTGGCTCGGTCAACGTTGCTGGAAGTGCTGTACTACATTCCTCTTAGGAGGGCACCGAGGTGCGCAGCGAAGAAAGCGCCACCGCCACCAAACAGTCTTGTCTTGTCTGCACCAAATTCTACCCGCTGCCGCCATGGTTGCCCGTCACTCAGACATAAACGAGGGACCTCCGGCTTTACCTTGCAAGACTTCCCAAGCTCCTTGGTCGGGAAGTTAACGTACTGGAGCGCCTCTATCGACAGGATCATAGCGCCGATGTAAGCGGACCCGGTCAACCCGAAGAGCTGCTGCGGCATCTGCGAACCATGGAACAAATAACGAATAATCGCGAATGAAGACCTCAAACGAGTCGTGTCGTGGAAATGTATAGCCGTCGCATTCGCGATGAATTTTGCCTTTCCGCATTTGCAACACAACTCTGAATCAATAAATACCGACCAACGCCGAACCGCGTAGAACTTTTTGATCTCGAGTACGTACGGGGTCGCCAACGCGCTACATATAGAGATGTAGTGTGCGGTACGTACAAAGATCCAGGCGGCATCAGTGGTTGGTTTCGATTGCGCTCAGGTTCAGGTGCAGGCCCTCTTGAGTGTTTGGACTCGCGGTCTGATTGCACTCAGGTTCCTGTACAGGCCCGCTCAATAGAGTGCTTGGGCCCACAGCCTCGCTTGCGGGCGAAATTCGTGCCGATCGCAATGGGGGGCAATCAAGTACTTTTCGGAACAGTTCCTGGGTGAGAGGTGATAATGATTCCGAAAAACCTTAAACATCATGGAAGTTCCCAAGGCGTTGTCCACATGAGCATACAGAGTAAAGTAGGTCTTACTTAGAACGGTTGAAGCATTTTCATGTGTGTTGTCTGGAACAAAAAGGAGGTCGTGCCGGGACTAGCGGACCTGCACCATGCGGCGGACTGGTACATAGATACTGCTGTAGTCTATTTTGTGTCTGGCTTCCTTAACATTGGCTCTAGCGTGTGGATCATAACCGTGGCTGTCAAACGACAGACAGCCGGCATCATCAACCGCGCGTGCGTTTGACCAGGCCCGGACATCGGGTAACAATGTCTGGGGTCGCACCTTTTCCCCGGATGACCCGACACACTGCATGCCCAGGAAGGCGAAGACGACGTTCACCACGCACGGCACCCACAGAAGGAACAAGGTGGCGGAAAACCTGCCAACACCACGCGACCGGCTTTCTCCGTTATAGCTCGCAGGGTGGGGTCGTTCCTTGCCATCTCGCCGTACAACCCGGGCGGTGCCATACAGATGAAAATCGAGAGAAGACGGCATCACGTCAAGGCCCCCCGCTTGTTGACCGGGTTTAGGCGTCATGAGGTGCGTTCATGGGCGTTTGAAGAGCACCAGCCGCGTGCTCAGTGAGCACTTCCTACACATGGATTGGCGATAGTATTGACGGTGGTTGGGCGGCAATACTCTAGGCCCGAATCCCCCAGGCGCGGTGAAACAGAAGACGAGCTTGTTGGCCGGGGTCTTCTTTTCTCAGATGAGCATGGATGGCACAGCTGGATGCTAAGGGATTGCCGCGCTAGCCTCAAAATGTTTGTGGCTTTCTTCTGCTCGGGTGTCGTCATCTCCCATTCAGGGCATGTGTAACCGTCAAAGGAGAACGCCGACGGTGGTGAACCGTCCAGCAGCTCGAATGCGCACCATACCGTTGGCGTCACAGTTCTATTGACCCCAGAAACAACGAGTATCCGACCCGGCAAGGGTCAGGAAACCTCAACCTTACGATTTACCTCAGAACGACGGAGATATTTTGTATTTTGTGTTCCGTCGACTTTTCAGTGAGAATACTAGGTTCCCAATGAAAAACAGTAACACCTGCTTTATTCAGATGATGCGTATTTTGTCAACGACAACAGTTAGTTCTCATAACAGTTAGGCGTCATCCAACACGAGATTCCTGGGGCACCTGCCCTTATTCTCTCGTTCACCTTTCGCCGTCAACCGTCCTGAAACCGACAATGCCCTCCTGCAGTATCCCCGCAGATAGATAACACGCGTAGATGCCCAACACGCATATCGCTAACTTCTTCACCTGTAACATTGATGGATTGTGTGTGGGTGGGGGGGGCTCAGGATATCAACACGGAGGGTTGACGCAAAGAGTCAGGAGGGGGGCAGGTTCGACAGGGTGGTTTTGTCAGGGAGGGGGTAGCGTAGCGCACGACGGATGGCAGGAGCGCTAGGGACAAGAGTTGAAACCTACAGCGCGAGTGATGGGGGGATTGGATATCGAATATTGTAGACCAGAGGTTACAACAGTCGCTGTTGGTCGTAAGTCAACCACGACAATAATACCGCCGAAAGTACGGCACAAAAACACCAACATTACAATAAATGCCAACATGTTGTTTTCAGTTGTCAATGTTGTGGTGCGGTGAAGGTTGGTGATTTTGTCGATGCCGAAGTTGTCTAATGCCACGGCCCTGGCGGAAGCAACAAGCCACTTTTTAGGGGTCTACACCACGGGCACGTCATACCCTTGCCTCTGTCGAAGAACTTCCTGCAGGTCCTGGGTCATCAGCGGCTTGCGCGTTCTTCTGGTGTCTCCCTTTGGTCTTGGCAGCGCTGGAGGAAGGACCAACGCTCAATACTTGTGGCGCCGAGGCCTGCCCCATTCTGTCGTAGAGGCGGAAACGTACGAAAAACCACGACGTTAGGTAAATGGAGTTTTTCTCCTCCAGTGCGAACAAAAGAAAACGTGTGGCCCCTGCAGCCCCGTACTGAGCATCAAAACAGTAATGAAATGGTCCAACAGACACATATGCGTTACTGTGAGCCCGCAAGAGGTACACCCGAGATTAGGGCGGTCGTTACGAGAAATGACTTCTCATATGTATCTACCCCCGATAATTGGGAGATGTTCTTAGGACTGGGCATGCGTCATAGATAGGCCTACGACTCCGTCTATCCACACATCGATTTCGGGCCTTTTCACCCATCCATTTATTCCGGCACTTTAACTACATGTAGAAGTGGGCGCTCCTGCCAATCTACGGGTCTCGCTCATGGTTGAATTCGTTTTGTTTTTTCTCTCCCGTTTCATGTCACTCTGGCGCTCTGGCGCTGTGGTCACGACCGGTGGGTCTCCCACGCTTTCTACAGTTTTGCTAACGCCCATGGGACACCCGTGGGACACCCATGGGCACTACTCTTAGCAGAACTGTCAGTAGCGTGGGAGATTGCGACCGGTGGAGGTCGTTCTCCACACCCGATTGTATTTTCGGTTATTCCCTCTCCCCTGTGAGGTCAATGGTCTAACGAATACGGCATGCACGACTATGAGTACACCCCCCCCCCTGTGAAACCGCTCTGTCGCCGTTTCTCTTGGTGACTGAATTAGAGCCACGATTATTAGCGGACGTACAGGATGGGTCCCTCGTACTGCGCGCACGCGCGTGTTCTTTGCTACTTGCTCCTTCTCACCCATCATATTTTTTTTCTGCCAACACGACGAATGGCCCCATCCCTTGTCCACAGCGATGATAAGAGTCCAGAACAAACTGTAGCAAGAAATTGACAGCATTTAGTCCACAATGCGTCCACCGGTGTTTCTGCTAGACGTATTCTCCGAGGATTTTTTTTTTTTTGTCTTCACTTCAAATCAGCGCTCACAGCACTACAGTAAGCACTACAGTAGTGCCGTTTACTCCAACCCGTGGTCACACAGAATAACTTCTCTCTAACCTCCCCTCCTGCGGTACTTTGCCTTCGATTTTTAATGCGAGAAGAGTTCAGCACTCTCTTCCCTCTGTGTACACACGAACTAGCGCTGTCCACTAGGCCAGAAGCGGAAGCGAGAGAAAAATTCACTTTGCAAGAAAAGCTCGCTACGCCGGGATTCGAACCCCTGACCTCACCTCTGGAAGATATCGAGGATACCAACTAGACCACCGGGGCGACGAGGAATACCCAGTGATGACTCACTCCCCTCTAGGTAACAACAGCTCAAATGATGCTTTGGCGGCGATCTTCCGTTTCGGAACAATATATGCATGTATGGTTGGTCTAGTTGGTACCCTTGAAACCTTCTAGAGGTCAGGTCAGGGGTTCGAATCCCGGCGTAATAAGCGAGCTTTTCTTGCAAAGCGAGTTTTTCTCTCGCTTCCGCCCCTGGCCTCGTGGATAGCGCTAGTTCGTGAGTACACAGAGGGAAGAAAGTGCTGAACTCTTCTCGCATTAAAAATCGAAGGCAAAGTACCGCAGGAGGGGAGGGTAGAGAGGGGCTCTTCTGTTTGACCACGGGTTGGAGTAAACGGCACTAGTGCTGTGGCGCTGATTTGAAGTGAAGACAAAAAACAAGCAAAATGGTTGAAGGGGGGGGGCAGTAGAAGGAATCTGTAGGGAAGCGTTGATTGTTCTGCTACGTGTGTTGTTGTTGTTGTCTTCACATTAATTAAACACCGTTGCGATCTCTCTCTACTGTTCGCGGGGGCATTGGCAAGGCAGCCGGACGGGCGACTCCCGAAACGACTCATGCTCGGCGAACTGGCGGGGGGGGAGAAGCGACGTAGGGGGGGACAGGAATAGAACTGGCCGAAGTGTGTGCTCGGCGACCTGAAGGCATTCGGGGCCGACCACGGATGGATCTACGAAAACCGATCCATGTTGTCTCGGAATTCCGCTACCGAAAGACACGGCACCGAAATTAAATGGACGGAAGCCGCGAAGGTGGAGGGGGGAGTACCCTGGCATGCGGCGGTGCTGCAGGGAGCTGAGAGGTTCATGACCTCCTGGCACAAGAAGGAAGAAGAGGCCAGCCGACAACGAGCGCTCAAACGAGACCACAAGCCAACAACCAATGGGGCGGGAGGGGGGCAGGAGACGGACGAGACGGCGAGGGAAGAAAGTAAACGAGAAGAGACGGACCGAGTGGCGTGATACGTGCCGGCAAGATTGAATTTCATTTAGCCAACCAAGTCCCCCCCCCCCAACGCTGCACCATTGCACCAACCCCCCACTAGTGATGGCGTACCATTACCATGTATCGCTGGTTGGTGGCCATGTTTGCGTGTTTGCTCGTTCGTTCGTTAGTGGTCTCTCCACCGTGTGCCTTATTCTGTCTCTTATTTCTTTTTTTCCTCCCTCTTTTTCTTTTTCGTTTTCTTTTCTCTGTTCTTCCTGTTTCCTTTATTTTTTTCTGTTTAGCTCTTTTTTCTCTTTTTTCTCTTTTTTCTCTTTGTCACTCTTTTTTCTGTGTCAGATGGCCTTGTCTCTGCTTGCGTGTGAAGCACCAGGATTGAACCAAGGGGGTGAATCTCTTTCTCTCTGGCCCGTGATGCTGAATCCTAGTCTCAGTTGTTACCTCGCATAGCTCGCAGAGGGAGCGGAGGACTCCAGAATATCTGTCGTTGATTTCTATTGACTTGCGGACCCCTCGGGGCCAGCTTGTTTGAGCGTACCTTTTTAGGGTAGTTAGCCTGTGACCACGGGAATCGACCGCGTCAAGTGTTGGATCAGTACGGACGTATGAAGGTACTGGGTAGATAGAGATCGGAACGGTTACAACAACAACACACATAGCAGACCAATCAACGCTTCCCAACAGATTCCTTCTACTGCCCTCCCGTCCAACCATTTTTTTTGTCTTCACTTTACTTGTGTGTGGTGTGTGGCAGAAAAATTTATTGGACAACACGTAAATAAGCCGGTCGCCCCGGTGGTCTAGTTGGTATCCTTGAAACCTTCTAGAGGTCAGGTCAGGGGTTCGAATCCCGGCGTACGCGAGAATTTCTCGCAAAGTGAGTTTTTCTCTCGCTTCCACTCCTGGCCTAGTGGATAGCGCTAGTTCGTGTGTACACAGAGGGAAGAGAGTGCTGAATGAACTCTTCTCGCATTAAAAATCGAAGGAATAGTACCGCAGGAGGGGAGGGTAGAGAGGGGCTCTTCCGTGTGACCACGGGTAGAAGTAAACGGCACTAGTGCAGTGAGCGCTGATTTGAAGTGAAGACAAAAAAAAAAAAACATTGGCCAATTTCCCGTGACTGGAATATACCAGAGGGTGCGGGCAGTGCTTTGTGTGCATGGGTTGTACAGAGCGGGCGAGGTTGGGTTACGTATGCATACATATATGAGGTGTTAAAAGCATGCAAATCTCTTCATTGCTACACGAAATGGGCGACGTAGACTAAATGCTATCGCTAATCAAAAAGCATAGGGAACCTACAGCGGTGACCAACTGTCGTTCCTATTGGTTTGTGGGAGGTTTGTCCATGTGTGGAGTTATTTTGGGGTCGAGCGAACACTACCTGGGCTTCCGGGTTGAC